GCGGGGCAGCAGGGCAACGAGCGGGGCCAGGGCGGGGAGCGGCGGAGGCGGGGCGGGGCAGCGAGCAATCAGTCCGCCGCGCCGGAACGGCGGGCGAAGAAGAGCGGCCCCCGGCGGCGAAACAGAAACGCCACGCCAAAGTTTGGCGGGCGGGGGCCACGGTACGGAGCCAGAGGCGGGCGGTTGGCGCCAGGAGAAGCGCTGGCGCGCTGGCGAGACGAGCAGCAAGGGGGAGGCGGGCGGGGCGGGAAGCGAGGCGGCCGCGCTGGCGAGGCGGCAGGGATGGCCCAGGCGGGCAGGGATGGCCCAGGGACCAGATCCAAAGCGGAACCCAAGAGGACGAGCCCCTTGTCAAGAGACAGGGAGGGGCGGCCAAAGGGCAGAAAAAGCGCGGAAGGCAACCAGGGAAAGAGGCCGGGCGGATGGGAGAGGCGCGGGCGGCAAGAGCGCGGACACCACCCAAGGAGGGCAGCGGGCCACGAGGGGGGGGGCGGGCCCCAGGACAGTAGCAAGCCGAGTCGGCGTTCGACGCCGAAAGGCTTCCGGCGGATCGAACCGAGGCAGGCGCATAGTAAAGGGCCCCGCCAGAGAGGAGCCATGTACAACCAGAAGCAGGGCAGAGGCAGACTGCGACGCACAGACAGCGCGCCACCCAGCCGAGCTGGCAGGCCCAGAGCCGTGGCTGGAGACGAGCGGAGCCAGCACCGCGAGCAAGAAACGCAACGCGGGATCGACACTGAGGGGCTCCGCGCGGATCGACCAAAAACCGCGCCGGGCGGGTGGAAGGCCACCGCGGGCCCGGCAAGACCAGGGCACGACGGAGGACGGGCGGGGAGCGAGCAGCAGAGCCTGAGGCCAGGTCAAGCCGGGGCGAAGCGGCAGACCAGCGAGGCGGCGGACCAGCGGGAACACGGGAACACAAGTGCGCCGCAGAACCTGGGAGCCCGAAACCAGGTCAGGCCTCCAGGTGATGCTCGCTGCGGTGCTTCCCGTAGCGCCTGCGGTGCTGTTCGTGGCGTTGCTGGTCGCTGTCGGGGTCTGCCGCTCGTCGCGCCTGCGGCGCTGCTCGTAGTGCTGCCAGTCGCCGTCAGGGTCGCCGTCGTGGTGGTAGCTACGGTATAGCTTGTGGCACCTGCGGCGCTGCTCGTGGTGCTGCCGGTTGCAGTCGCGGTGCTCGCTGCGGTGCTGCTCGTAGCGCCAGGGGTGCAGCTCGTTGCACTGCCAGTCGCCGCCCGGATACCTTCGTGGTGGTGACCGTGGTGTCGCTCGTGGCGCCTGTGGCTCTGCTTGCGGTGCTGCGGGTCGCAGTCGCGATAGTAATTGTAGTGCGGCTCGTGGCGTCTACTCGGCTGCTTGTGGCGTTGCCAGGCGCCGTCGCGGTGGTAGCTGCGGCGCGGCTCGTGGCGCCTGCGGCGCTGCTGGTGTTGTTGCCGGTCGCTGTCGTGGTGCTCCCTGTGGTGGAACTCGCGGCGTCTGCGGCGTCGCTCGTGGCGCTGCTGGTCGCCGTCGTGGTGGTAGCTGCGGAGAGGCTCGTGGCGCTTGCGGTGCTGTTCGTGGTGCAGCGGGTCGTCGTCGCCGTGCGCGCCGCAGCGCGGATCGTGGTGCCTGCAATGCTGCTCTTGGTAGCGCCGGTCGCCGTCGCGGTCGCGCCTGCGGTGCTGCTCGGGGCGCCTGCAGTGCTGCTTGTGGCGCTGCCAGCCGTCGTCGCGGTGTTCGCCACGGTGTCGTACGTGGTGCCTGCGGCGCTGCTCGCGGCGCCCGCCGTCGCGTCCGGGGCGCCCCTGGCCGCGCCGGCCGCAGTGCCGAGCATCAGGGGCGCGCTGGCAAGCGGCTAGGAGGTGGGCTGGCATGGGAGAAGCACTTCGGCCAGGTCTGGGTCGTCCTCCTTTGCCTGGGTGACCACGACCGCGTCCTGGGCCACGACGCTCAGGAACCACCACCAGCGGTTGGTGCACCCGCGCTCTGCGGAGGACGAGCGCTGCCCGCGCCTTCTGTCTGCAAGCACGCGTACCAGCTGAAGAAACTCGCGCCCCCACCAGCCCCCAACTTCACTGGAAAGGACCAGCAGGCGTCCACTGGCGCCGCTCGGCCACTCGAAACGAGGCACCGTCGGGGACGAAGGTGCGCGGCCAGCGCGCGCCGCCCCTGCGGGGTGGGCACACCACAGTGCCGTCGCAGCACAGGGGGGCACTGCTGGGCGAGAGGCCGTCGACGACCACGTCTAGCTGCGTCTAGCTGTCTGCAATCCTCTGGGTTGTGGACGACGGCGCTGGTGTCTCGCAGCAGTCGTTGGGGGACTACCCTCCCTCCTGCCTCTCTTGCGACCCTCGCCCATGCTCGTTCGACAGGCTTCGCGCGTCTGGGGATGAGCCTGGCGCGTGGCCACGCGGCCAGGTGGCCTCCCAATTGGGTCTTTGGGGCTCGGCATCCCAGGCGGCCGTTGGCCCCGCAGCTGCGTGGGAGAATCGCCAAGGTTGGAGTCTGAGGCGCCGGCGCAGGGCTGCCTGGAAAAGCGCTGGCTTGAACGCGTGCCCCTCAGTGCTTGGCAGGGCGCGCAGCCAGTAGAAAGCCCCCGGCCCTGTTAATGCTGGGCATGAACACGTTGTCCCTGTAGCAGGTGTGGCGTGCGGAAAAAACGTAGAACTGCGATCCGCGCTGCCATTCCCCCCGCTCGGCGGCCTCCACCCGCGGCGGCGGCCCTGGGCGCAGCCCCAAGAGCAGGTCGGCCCAGGAAGCCTCCGGTTTCGAGCGACGAAGCGGCCGCGGCAGCCGCTGCCGTCGAGGAGGTCCCTGCGGACTGCAGCCTCGAGAAGGCGCCCTTAGAGGAGCATGCGGGGCGCGTCTGCCCACGCGCCCCAGTAGGCCGCTGCCGGGAACGTTCGCGCGGCGCTATGGGGCCTGAATCCTAAAGTCGCCCTGGCACTGCTGCCAATGCGCGCGCCCGTCGCCCCTCGTCCTGCGACGCTGCGGGGCCACAAAGGAGGCGGCGCAGGGTGGTCCACATGTCGTCGTCGTGGTCGTCGTGGTCGTCGTCGTGGTTGTCGCAGTCGTGGTCGTGGTCGTGGTCGTGGTCGTGGTCGTCGTCGTCGTCGTGGTCGTGGTCGTCGTCGTCGTGGTCGTCGTGGTCGGTGGTCGTGGTCGTGGGCGTGGTCGTGGTCGTGGTCGTGGTCGTGGTCGTGGTCGTGGTCGTGGTCGTGGTCGTGGTCGTGGTCGTGGTCGTGGTCGTGGTGGTGGTCGTGGTCGCGGTGGTCGTCGTGGTCGTCGTGGTCGTGGTCGTCGTGGTCGCCGTGGTCGTCGTGGTCGTCGCGGTTGTAGTCGTCGTCGTCGTCGTGGTGGTGGTGGTGGTGGGTGGTGGTGGGTGGGTGGTGGAGGGTGGAGGTGATGGGTGGGTGGGTGGGTGGGTGGGTGGGTGGGTGGGTGAGTTCGTCGTCGTCGTCATCGTCGTCATCGGCGTCGTCGTGATCGTGACCGTCGTGATCGTGATCGTCGTCGTCGTCCTCATCGTCGTCGTCGCCGTCGTCGTCGTCGTGCTCGTCGTCGTGATCGTCGTCGCCGTCGTGATCGTGATCGTCGTGAACGTGATCGTGATCGTCATCGTCATCGTCGTGATCGTGATCGTCGTCGTCGTCGTGGTCGTCGTCGCGACCGTGATCGTCGTCGTCGTCGTCGGTCGTCGTCGTCGTCGGCGTCGGCTCCGTCGGCGTCGGCGTGAGCGTCGGCGGCGGCGTCGGCGTCGGCGTCGGCGTCAGCGTTGTCGTCGTCGTCGTCGTCGTCGCCGCCGCCGCCGCCGCCGCCGTCGTCGTCGTCGTCGTCCTCCTCCTCGTCGTCGTCGTCGGCGGCGGCGTCGGCGGCGTCGTCGTCGTCGTCGTCGGCGGCGGCGGCGGCGTCGTCGTCGTCGTCGGCGGCTGCGGCGGCGGCTGCGGCAACGGCGACGGCGGCGGCGGCGGCGGCGGCGTCGGCGTCGGCGTCGGCGTCGGCGTCGGTGTCGGCGTCGGCGTCGGCGTCGGCGTCGGCGTCGGCGTCGGCGTCGGCGTCGGCGACGGCGTCGGCGTCGTCGTCGTCGTCGTCGCCGCCGCCGCCGCCGTCGTCGTTGTCGTCGTCGTCGTCGTCCTCCTCCTCCTCCACGCAGGTAGCATCGGGATGAGTTCATCAGTCACACACCTCTGCCTGCTGCAGCAACTGCGCCCTCGCGGCACGCGCGCGCGAAGAAAGATGTGAACGGCCGGTCTGCCAGGCGGCGGGCGCGCCACACTAGCAGACGGGCCAGGTCGCTTGCCTTTTTCAACCGAGGCGCGGCGCTCGGTCGTTCTTGAGCCAAAACATGGGCACGGTGCTTTGCCATTACCCGTGCTCTCCGTGGCCATGCTTCGAGCATCCCGTGAATGCTGACGCTACTGCTTGGTTTCGGGGGCTGGCGGAACGAGGAGGCGGCCGGAAACCAGCCACACTCCACGATACGCCCACCCCCCTTGCGACAGAATTAAAGATTACAAGTGCGACTCGCGAAGCGAGCTGGGATATAGTACAAACGTGTGAAGAATAGATGCGCCAGGCTGCCCTCATGACCACGATGGGAGGAAGGTAGGGAGACGCACGCCCCCCTACCACCAACCTGACGAAGTTGAGGAGGCGGATGATTCAGCTCGCGGATGCATTATGCTCTGTAGCGCCGGCAGGCCTGTCCACGGAGAACCCGGACGCCGCCGAGCGCGCCTTCAAAGCATGTCGCATGTCACACCACGGCGCGTGAGATCCGAAAAATCTAAAGTACACTTAAAACTACAAATACAAGTAGGCCGATGGAGAAATGCATGTAATCAGTCACCGCTGGGTGAGGTGATGAGCGTCTCAGGTGCCAGACAGAAATTGCTGCAGTTATCTGTGGCATCATTTCACACCCCCCTTGGCCCTGTCGCTCAGAACCTCCTCGGTCAGAGCTCAGACCGCAGGCCGCAGGCGCGAGACGACGAACATCTTATAATCATCTGGGCTGCCGGCCCTCACAACTTTGCGGCGCGCCGCATGCCGGCGCGCCCCCTCGCCTCGGCAAAGGGCGCCGGTTTGAGGGACTTGGTGAAGAAGTCGCCTTTGTGCGTGGCTGTTGCGTGGTACTCTACGTCGAGTGCTGCTTCTGGATCGTTGTAGATCTCGCGCATGGCTCCGATAGAGCATCTGTGTGTCCGGGGAAAACATCGCAAGCGTTTGGAGTAGCCCTTCTTGATGGCCTGAATTGCCTGAGCGTTGTCCACTCTGCAATCGATGGGGACGAGGACGCCAAGCATGTCAGAGATCAGCGTCTGCACCGGCAGCGCACAATGCCGAACCGCCGTGCTCGCGCTTATGGTCTCGGACTCGGCGCTGCTGCTGCTGGTCGCCGTCTGGCGCGACACCTTCCACGTAAGAGGGAAAGAGTTGCTGGACTCGGTCCCCACCAATTCGCAGTACAACCCACTCGTGCTCTTCGTGGTGTTGCTGTCCCCGTTCCAGTCGGCGTCAGGCCACAATCTAATCGCTAGATGCTCGAAGTCGGTCGGGGCCAACTGCCCAAAGAGCTCCATATCGTGGTACTCCGACACGTAAGACATAAAACGAATCAGTGCGATGTCGTCTGCAACCGTCCACCGCGTCACCCGGCTGCACATTCTCTGCATCGCTACAGACAGATCTGGGCGACATACCAAAGAAGCATACAAGCCGGAAGAGACGTAGCTGGCAGCAGAGGCCGGGAAGATGCCCGGCTCGTCGTCCACCGCCGCGTAGTCACCATCTGTGGGGCGCGGCGTTGTAACCTTGCGCAAGGCGCCCCTGTACTCCAGCTTGAACTTGTCCACCAGGTTGTGGAGGTACCCGCTCATGCCGGTAGTGACCGTTCGCACCCTCATCGGCCCCTACGGGTTGACGTGGTCGAAGTGGTACAAGGCGCCAAGATAGCGCAACACCTCTGCGCACGCCTCCTGGAACACGATGTGCTGCCCCAGCTCGCGCCAGCGCTTCTTGGCGTTCGCCGCCGTGGCCGCGAGCAAGAAGTCGCCCACGTAGATCACCACGATGCTGCCATCAGCATGCAGCCAGATGCTGTGCCAACCGTCGACCTTCCTCCATCCAGCCATCTCCACGATGAACACGGCGTCCGCGTGGGACTCCCAGACGTTCCCGCTCTTCGGGCGCCCTGGGAGCGCGTACACCAGAGGGACAGCTGGCCGGTGGTATTTTGGCTGCGTTCGGTCACGATCGTAAAACCAACTGCTCGGCCACCAGTCCTTGGGAAGCTCGACAAGGTCCACAATCGCCGGGTCGGTCTCCATAGCAGCCTGAAGGTAGGCTTGGTACGCGTCGCGGTAGGTGCAGCTCATGTTTTTTCAGCACTGCCACAGCGAACGCACACCTGGCAGCAATTAAGCTGGCCGGGCTGTTGGACACGTCTTCGAAGATCTCGTATGCACTTCGACCGGTTCTGGTCCATATGTTGTTTCCCTGGAAAACTGCTCTGGCTCGGTAGCGCCACTGGCCCTCGTCCATCTCGCTGCTCTTGCAGCCCAAGATGACGAAGACGCGGCTTACGACGACGTCCTTGTACGAGTCGCCAGCCATCCAGTCTTTCAGGCTACGGACCCTGCTCATGTCCCAGGTGCCCCGGTTCCTGTGTCCCTCGAGCTCCGCCTCGATCGCCGCTTTGGCCTTGTCGGTCTTGGCCTCCTGTGACTTCATGTTGACGAGCCTGGTGATGAGGCAGCACCACAGCGGCATCGTCGGAGGGCCCGGGGGCAGCACACGCTCCATGGTGCGATCCGGGAGCGTGCACGGCATCGCCCTCGGAACGTTTGGCTTCAGCGCCTCCCAGATCAGCGTTGCCATCAGCGGCGTGTACAGAGCGCTGGCAGCTGCGATCTTGCCCCGGCACTCCACGAAGCTAGCCTGCGGGATGTGCTTGGGCAGGTCGGCGCAGGGCCCAGGCTCGATCGGGACCCCCGGGTGCGTCGTAGCAACCCTCCACTTCTTCTTGATGAAGACTTGCTGATTCGTGCCCTTGATGTTCTTACCGAAGGACATGCCCACAGCAGCAGAGGAAACAACAGAATCAACAGCGCCTCGTCGGGCTAACATGTCGACCACCCTCGGGTCATGCCACAATAAATTGCGATCCGCCCATTCCCAAGAAAACGTATTGTTGGCCCTGTCCACGTGCTCGCAGATCTGGACAGCAGCATCGATGAGCTTGTTGGTCAAGCTCTCGCTCCCGGCGTTGACGCCCAGAGGCGTGTTGACGGACTTCCAAGGGCATCCAAAAGTGCACGGGATGCTGACCCACGCGTGCACCTCCACCTCGTGCAGGACGCAAAAACTGATTATGCAATGAATCGCACGTTTAGTTGACCTCAGTGTCAAGTCCTCCCTGGCGGCGATGCGCACCGCAAGGCAGCGCTCCTGGGCGGCCGCGCTGAGCTCGCTGTCCTCGGAGCACCCCAACTCCAGCAAGAGGAACCTGTAGTCGCCAGTGATGATCATGCTGCGCGCCTGCTGGACGACGCGCGTCGCTGACGGCCGCAACGCCACCGCAGGGCGCTCCAGCTGAAGAGTTGCACCCCTCAGCTCGCGGGTCGTGGTGTCCTTCTCCACGTCGCTCCCCGGCGGCCGGGAGCTCCCCGAAGTCGGAGTTATACCTCTCGCGACTGCTGCCAGGGGAGCGGCCGGTGCGACCACGCCCTTCTGCTTTGCTCGTTGCCATTTGGACCCTCTCGCCTCCTGCGCCGCGAAGCCAGGTGCATCGAGTCGCCCCCGCTCCGAGCGCAGATCCTTCTGAGCAGCACGCCCAATGCCAACCCACACCTCGGGCTCGCAAGTCGGCGGGCGCCGTGGCCACGGTGGCGCGTGCACCAGGCGGACTCTGTCTCCACCTCGTCCAAAGCGGTCGATCCCCCATCCCAGTGGAGCGGCGCCCCCTCGATGATGGCGATCTCGGGCTGGACGTCGTCGACGGCCTGCTGCGCCTCCGCGATGTCGGCGTCTACCGGCTGAAAGTCACCAGCGGGCGCAATCGCCACAGGCTGCACCTCGTCGCCCTGGACGTCCGGCTCCAGAGCCAGCACGTGGCCCAGGGGCACGCTGGAGTCGAACTTGGCGGCGCCATCCTTCCACATGCCGTCGAAGAACTCCGCCTCCATGTCGACATCGCCCTTGTCCTCCAAGATCTCCCAGGTCTCGGCGTCGTCCGCGACGCGGGCAGCCGGCAGGGTCTCGTCGACCGTGGCCCTATGGATCGCCAGGCGCTGCTTGATGGGGGACGTGACGTCCGCTGGGAATACTACGCCCATGGTTCGTCTGATGGTCGCCTTGGAGGCCCGACTCCCCGAGGTAAACCTCGATAAAGGGATGACTCCGTAGCTGGAGGCCCATTTCCCCCCTGGCCCGACGGCGATCTCGATCAGCACGGCGGGCACGAGCCGAGACTGTAGCTTGTCGTGCAGTGGCTCCGCGCCCTGCTGCGGCACCGGCCGGCGCGGGTGGAACAGCACCAGGGCGCCGAAGGCGCACTGCTTGCACGGCGCTGGCGCCCCGTGCATCCGGAAGTAGGGGGCCATGCCGCCCTTGACGATTATGAACCCGTTCCACATGGCAATCCAGAAGAGCAGCGCCATCGCCCAGCACGCCTCGTCGAGGCCCGACTGGATGAGCAGGGCCCTCGCGCCTTCCGAGGCTGTCCGGTTCGTCCTCTCTGCCTTCGGGGCGCGCGGCCACGGCGCGGACGCGAAGTGCGCCAGAGGCCGCAGTGACCGCACACGCCGCGAAGCGGCAAGAAACTCAGCCGCTCGACCAGACCACCACCTCCGAATGGCAGGAGGCACGTCGTCGCACCGATGAATCAGCTCCACCACCACGCCGGCCTCCTTCGAGTTCGAGGGCCCGGCGCCGAGGAACACGGTGAGGTCGTCCGTCAGCATCAGAGCGCGCTGCGCCGTCTTGACGCCCTGCGTGCCCCGGCGGATCTCTGGCCAGTCGATGTGCACCATCGCCCCGAAAAGCTTGTCAATGGCGTGCTGGCCGGTGACGTGCACCATGGGCTCCGTGCGCCGGAGCTTGTACTTGTGCAGGTGCTTGGCGTCGTCGCAGATTGGGCACCCCTTCAGGCGGGGCAGATGCATGCTCTGGTGCTCGGGTGAGTTCACGTCCTTGCAGGGCGCGCAGTAGTCCTGCTCCTCGTCCCTGGCGCCCACCTGCGTGACCTCGAACTTGGAGTCGTTGGCGACGATGTCGGCCTCGGCGTCGTGCTCCGCCCTGTCGGCCTGGTCCAGCAACCTGTACGTCGGCCAGAAGAGTACGCTCGGAACTGTCGGCTGCGTCAGACTCCTCTGGGATCGGCGGGATGTCTGGCTCGACCTCGACGGCGCCCTCCTGCCTGTGCTCGGTGTCGGGCGCGGCTGGCGTGGGCGACATAGCGGCCGCTGCAACCACGTTTCGTCCTCCTCCGGGTCGCCGATTGCGAACGAACGGCACGAAGTTTTCGTCAACCTCGACCTCTCAAGGCACCCGAGATGGCGATATGAAGGACGGCTTGTCTGCGCACGGCTGCCAGTAGAAGCCGTAGCCCGTAGCCCTTCTCCGCACAACGTCGTCCAAGTGCCAATGCGTTGGGCGTGTCTGGGAGGACATGCGCCGTGATCGTCTCGCCGAGGGGGGCGAGGTCGGCGGTGACTGTCTCGTTCGAGTCCACGATCCCCCCTGCTGACCACATGGCCGTGGCGACGTTCGACTTGCCCTTGGATCCCGCGACCCTGGAGTTCGCGACGTCGAGGGCGGCCGCCGCGTCGAGCGCCCACTCGTCGTACACAGACGCGTGGATGTTGCAGATCATCTGCTTCTTGGGCGCCTCCGCGGCTGCTCCGGACCCTGCGGCGCCGTCGGGCATCTTGGCAGATGCACCAAGCTCCATCGCCTTTGCGTCGCCCTTGGTGGGAGGGGTGGAGCAGCGCCGAAAGATGCAATCCTGGCCGCACCTGCAGGTGTTGCCCCTTTTGACGTGGCGGCACATCGCAGGATTGCGTCCCTGGGGCTGCCCTGCCGCGGCCTTGGCCTTCGGTGCGGGCTTGGCCTTTGCATCGGCCTTCGCCTTCGCCTTGGCTGTCGCTACCTCTGGCCCCGTGCGCGCGCGCCTGCAGGCGTCGCCTTCGGTACACGTGCCAGCGACGAACCTCCTGCAGGCGCCCTTCGACGTTGTCGCGGCGCCCCCTGCGCCCTCCGCGCCTTCTCGCCCTTACCCGTGCCCTTCGGTGTCAGTGGCGTTACCCTGGGCGCTGGCTTCAGGAGGGAATCCACGACGTCTTGCATCTCCTTGCGCCTGACGTAGTCCCTGGCCTTGTCGCACAAGAACTGCAGCGTCTTCTCCGTCGAGCCTTCCTCGGCGCGATCGTAGAGCTCGAAGTCCAATGCCAAAGGCTTGCACTTTCGCAGCTGCGGCACCACGCAAGCATGGAGAAGAGCTTCGTCAGGTGGTTCCCGGAGGTGCTCCAGGATAGCGTCAAGGCCATCAAGGCACAGGCTGAGGTCGCCGCGGAACTCGCGTGTCATCAAGGCCAGATCGACCTGAGTGGCGGCGCCTCTCTCGAGGACGTACTTTCAAATCACACGCCAGAAAGCCAATCGCCCTGAGGGCGGGACCCCTTGCTTGTAGCACTGCTCCCGGCAGGTGGTCAGCTTGCGTTTCAGCTCTCCCGCTGAGTACCGCATGACCGCGGAGAACAGCTCGGCGTCGAATGGCTGCCATTTCTTCGGGGCGATCAGCAACGCGGCCGGGTCGCCGCAGGCCTCCGCGCCCTTGATGTATCTGATCGTGCGCTGCTGCGACCGGTTCGATGCCGCCGTGCACTTGGTGCACACGTCAGCAACCCAGATACGGAATCCAGCGGCTGCGGGCGGCGAGCCCAGGTCCACGGGCTTCACCGTCGTTCGCTTGCGGGTGAACTCCTCGCCCGACGACTTCTCGGAAGACTGGTGCTCACCGTCGTTGCGGGCGGCGGCTCCACGATCCTGCTGCGGGCTCGCAATGCCCACGGCGGCCACTGGGACAGCCGCAGTCGGGGGCTCGGCCCGCGGTCGCATTCGCAGCGAGGGCCCAGCCCAGGCAGCGACGGCATGACGATACTCGCACGGGGCTGCTCGACACCTGCCGGCGCCCCGCTGGCCTGTGGGAAGCCTGGAGACACCGACGTCGTCTGCGTTTGTGGCGGTGCTGTCGCCAGACGCGGCGGCGGCCGCCGCAAGGCTGCCATCGGCGCCGGGGGGGCCGATCCCTCAGCGCAGCCTGGTTCAACTCGTCGCGGCACGCCTCTGCCTCGGCTCTCCACGCGAGGAGTTCCGATTGAGCGCCCTGCATCTCGATGGTCGCCTCGTCCTCCGAGTTCATTACCTCGCGGAGCCGCTCGTCGCTGGCAGCCACCATCTCCGCGGCCCACTGGTCGACCTCACGCTGCGCGGCGTCTCGGGTCGCGATGGCCTGCTGGGTCGCGATGGCGACCGCCTGCTCGCTGGCATGCCGCAGCTCAGCTCGCCAGTGCGCGTCCTGGTCGCGGAGCTCCTGGCGGAGGGCGCGGTCGTGGTTTGCCAGTTCACTGCGATGCGCTCGCTCTCGGTCGTTTGCCTCCGACTCGACGAACTCGACGTGCTTCTCCTCCCTGACAGATGCGAGATCGAGCGACCTTTCGCTCGACCTTGCCGCCGTGGCGGCGCGCCGCTCCACGCTGGCGAGCTCCTCTGACTCCAGCCGGAGCCGGGCCGCCATGGCCTGGTGTTCGCCGCCGACGTGGGCCTCGGCCCTCAGTAGCTCCGCGCGGCCCTGCGACGCCAGGCTCTCGGCCAGGTCCCGGCATCGGCCCTCGTACTGCTGCTGCATCTCCCCCACGCGTTGGTTGAAGACGCCCTCGAAGTAGTTCTGGACATGGTTGACTCCGGTCCGCATGGCCTCGCGCTGGCCCACAGCGCACTGCTGCACGAGGTGCGCCTCGTACTGCTGCATCTCGTCGCGGACCCCTGCCATGAACTGCGCCTCGCTGTACTGCGTGATGGCCTGGGACTCGGCCACGAGCTGGCCCTGCTGGGCCTGCTGGGCCACCAGCGCCATGCCCATCTCCTGCTGGGCGCGGATGCGTTCGTCGGCAACGCTGGGGGCAAGCGCCTGCTCTCGCGCCTGAGCCGCGGCGCGCACTCGAGCGGCGGCGTCCTCATGCAACTGCTGCTCAAATACTGCGACCTTCGCCTCCATCTGCCTCTCGAGGTCCACCATGTCGATGACCCTGGAGAGGTCCATGGACAAGTCCAGATCATCGATGGGCACAGTGGCGAACTCCTGGGCCGGCTGTGGCCGCTGCGGATGTTGCGGCGCAGCTGGGGCGACCGTCGCCGACGCCGGCGCGGCCAGGGCGGGCATCGCCGTCAGAGCGCCCAGCGACGGCAGCCGGAGCGCAGCAGGGGCGGCCACAATCGCAGCCACAGCGGCCGCCTGCTGGCGGCCCTCATAGCCACTCAGTGCTGCTGGAAACGGCGGCGCCGCGAGCGTCAGCGGCGCCGGCTGAAGTCCCCGGCTCGGCTGTGGGCCGAGGCTTGAGGGCGCCGACTGGGAGAGGCTCGGGTAGTTGTCGCGCGGCGCGACGCTCGTCGCCAGTCCTGGGCTCGGCTGCGGGCCAGGGCCCGCCTCCAGCGGCGCTGGATGGGTGGCCTGACCCTGGTTCGGGGTCACGCTTGATGAACCCAGGTGGGGGGGGCCTGGAGGCTGGCTTGGCAAGGGGGTTGTCCATTGCTGCGACATCCTTCAACTGATTCACGATGTCCCGCTCCCGGGGCTCGCCAACCTTCTTCCAGTCGGTGACGCCCGTGATGTGGGCCTCGACGAGGTTCTGAATATCGGCGGAGAGCCTGTTGAGGTCCTCCGTCTTCTGGGTCCCCTTCAGGGCACGCGTCAGCGCGCGGTCAAGTAGTTGTTCTGGTGTGCGCTTGCGTGGCAGGCGGCAGGGCACAAGGCTCTTAACCTGTGAACGGCCGGTCTGCCAGGCGGCGGGCGCGCCACACTAGCAGACGGGCCAGGTCGCTTGCCTTTTTCAACCGAGGCGCGGCGCTCAGTCGTTCTTGAGCCAAAACATGGGCACGGTGCTTTGCCATTACCCGTGCTCTCTGTGGCCACGCTTCGAGCATCCCGTGAATGCTGACGCTACTGCTTGGTTTCAGGGGCTGGCGGAACGAGGAGGCGGCCGGAAACCAGCCACACTCCACGATACGCCCACCCCCCTTGCGACAGAATTAAGGATTACAAGTGCGACTCGCGAAGCGAGCTTGGATATAGTACAAACGTGTGAAGAATAGATGCGACAGGCTGCCCTCATGACCATGATGGGCGGAAGGTAAGGAGCCGCACGCCCCCCTACCACCAACCTGACGAAGTTGAGGAGGCGGATGATTCAGCTCGCGGATGCATTATGCTCTGTAGCGCCGGCAGGCCTGTCCACCGAGAACCCGGATGCCGCCGAGCGCGCCTTCAAAGCATGTCGCATGTCACACCACGGCGTGCGCGATCCTAAAAGTCGAAAGTATACTTAAATCTATAATTACAAGTAGGCCGATGGAGAAATGCATGTAATCAGTCACCGCTGGGTGAGGTGATGAGCGTCTCAGGTGCCAGGCAGAAATTGCTGCAGTTATCTGTGGCATCACTTCGCAGAAAGATCCAGAGGCAACGAGCGTGCGTGACTGCGGGTGTTGTACATGTGGAATGCAATGATGAGCCTCTGGCACGCCAGGTCACACTCCTCGTCGGTGAGAGACCTGGCCAGGCCTTGGCGATGGTCAAGAAAGTAAGGCACTGGGCGGTCAGGGAACCAGGCCTGGTGAATTGCTCCCCACAAGTAGGGGCAGGAAAGGTAGTGGGCCTGGTCATTCTTCTCGCCTTCGCAGCCAAAAACACACTGACGGTCCACGTGCGCCACTCTGCGTTCCGTCACCCACCCACCCACACCCACCCCCCAGAGTTTTGAGCACTGACATCTGCCAGGACGGGGGCGCGCCCTCAAGTCGGGAGCGAAGGCGGGACCACGAGATCCCACGGAGTGCTCGTTCCGACGGGGGACGGCCAGCACGATAACAGATACGCTTCTTAACGGTGACCTCGATCAGGTCAGGAAACAGCTCCGCCCCAAGAGTGCGAGCAAAGACCTCTTGGATCATGGCACGAGGGGTCTCACGCAGGGCATCCACAACAGCATGCCTCGCGAGACGGGCAGGCTCTCGCAGCACATCTGACTCCAAGAACCCTTCGCGCGTTTCGCTCAGCACCTGTACTATGGGGGGACCCTGCGCCCAAGATTCCCACCGCAGCACCTGTCGCGGCAGGGGAGGAGTTGGCACAGATAGGAGAACTTGGAGACCGCCAACGTGTTGTACAGATGCATTGCTAAAGAGGGGGAGGCCTGCTGTCGACAGATGTTTCGGGCGACCTCGACCCACTCACGAAAAACACGATCCCACGACTCATGCTTGACAGCTGGGCCGATCCACACCCCTAGATATTCTGCCGACGGCACAATCGGAACAGAGGACCAGCGAAGTGCAAGCCTAGCGATCAGGGCTGGGAGGCGGTCTCGGAGCTCGCTGGAAAATTCCGCTTCGAGGGGGATGATGCGGCACTTCTGCATGTTTAATTTGAGGCCTGCTAAACCGTCAGCAGCGTTTATGTGTGTATATATATATATATATATATGCACCGAAGGGGGCGCCTTTATTGAAGAAAGAGCTAACCCCACGTAATCCGCCGCAACACCCGACTCCGACCCAGGGTTCTTGTGAAGGCACTCCCTCAGGTCCCAGAGAAAGGGGCCCTTAGCAATCGCCCAGGCCGATCCACTAAAGGGGTCCCCTTGCATGACCCCAGACATGATGAAGCTAAAAGCGAGGAGGGAGCCTAGAAGGGGAACAGAGGCATAGGCGAGAGTGTAAGTGGCCTGCAGGAGCAGTATCCTGCAGATGGGCACGTTGACAGCGCGAAGGAGTTCCCAGAGGTAGATGAGACAGAGGGAGGGGAAAGCGTTGCCGAAGTCGAGGAAGAGGAGGAGGAGGAGGAGGAGGAGGAGGAGGAGGAGAACAAGGGGTGTCTCTCCAGAGCTTGCTCTGACATGCCCAAGACTTTAGCAGTGACATCCAGCAGAATGGCCGTTTTTTTCCCCAACATCCTGAGTGGGGTTCTTGTTTTCCCAGAACATCCTCTCCTTCTCCCTCCCGCCTCCCGCCTCACATATCAATGACACGCCTACCAGTCCAGCCTCCCATATCATATATACCTACCATACCATACCATACCATACCCTCCAGGGAGGCCCCGCCTGAGCGAGGAAGGTATCGGAAAACCCGACTATTTACATGGTTGCGTGCCCTTCCCACCTCTCCAGGGAGGCCCCGCCTGAGCGAGGGTATCGGACACCCATATTATTTACATGGTTTCGTGCCCCTCCCACCCCTCCAGGGAGGCCCCGCCTGAGCGAGGAGGGTATCGGAAACCCACACAAATTACATGGTTTCGTGCCACTCCCACCCCTCCAGGGGGGGGGCGTCTGAACGAGGAGGGTGTCGGAAACCCATACTATTTACATGGTTTCGTGCCCCTCCCTCCCCTCCAGGGAAACCCCGCCTGAGCGAGGAGGGCATCGGAAACCCATACTAATTACATGGTTTCGTGCCCCTCCCACCCCTCCAGGGAGGCCCCGCCTCAGCGAGGAGGGTATCGGAAACCCGTGTTATTTACATGGTTTCGTGCCCCTCCCACCCCTCCAGGGAGGCCCCGCCTCAGCGAGGAGGGTATCGGAAACCCATACGATTTACATGGTTTCGTGCCCCTCCCACCCCTCCAGGGAGGCCCCGCCTCAGCGAGGAGGGTATCGGAAACCCATACTATTAACATGGTTTCGTGCCCCTCCCACCCCTCCACGGAGGCTCCGCCTGAGCGAGGGGGGTATCGGAAACCCATACTGCTTACATGGTTTCGTGCCCCTCCCACCCCTCCAGGGATGCCCCGCCTGAGCGAGGAGGGTATCGGAAACCCATGCTATTTACATGGTTTCGTGCCCCTCCCCCCTCCAGCGGGGCCCCGCCAGAGCGAGGAGGGCATCAAGAAACCGCATTATAAATTATGTTAACGGAGTTCCCCACATAATGATATTAACGGTTTCGTGGGACCCATGGGGTACGACAACATCAACACGAAGGAGAAGCTCGTCGAACGAGTAAGTACGCACGAAAGGGCAGACGAAAGAAAGGAGGAGGGAGGGCAGGTGTTCAGGAAACGAAGCCTTGTAAATAATACGGTTTCTTGATACCCTCCTCGCTCTGGCGGGGCCCCGCTGGAAGGGGGAAGGGCTACGAAACCTGGTAAAGAGCAATGCTTTCCGGGACCCTCCTCGTTCAAGCGCGGCCTCTCTGGAAAAGTGGAAGGGGGGACACGAAACCGCGTGAACTGCATTGTTGTCCAATACCCTCCTGGAGGAGGAGGAGGAGGAGGAGGAAGAGGATAGGATGGATGATGATGAAGAGCAGCAGCAGGAACCGCAGCAGGAGCAGCAGCGGGAGGATGGCCAGGAGTATGAACATGAGAAGGAGGAGGGTCGGGCGGGCGGGTGAGTCGCCCAGGCGTCCAAGGTCCGATTCGTGAGGTTGGTCTGGGTGGTATATTTTTCCTCGTCCTTCCTCCTCCTCCTCCTCCTCCTCCTCCCTCCTCCTCCTACTCCTCCTCCCCCCTCCTCCTCCTCCTCCTCCTCCTCCTCCTCCTCCTCCTCCTCCTTCTCCTCCTCCTCCTCCTCCTCCTCCTCTGTCTTCGCCCTCGTCGGTGTCGTAGTCGTGGTCGGCAGCGTCGGCGTCGCCGTCTTTCTCAGGCGGGCCCTAAAAGGCGGGCCCTGAAGTATGGATTACCATCGATTCGGCACGCACCCCTCCTCCTCCTCCTCCACCTCCCCCTTTTCTTCCTCTGCTTGTTCTTCCTCTACCTCTCCTTTCTCCCCCCCCTCCTCCTCCTCCCGCAGAAGGAGTGACCGGGGCAGGCTTGTGCCAGATGGCGTCGGCAACAAATCACCACCAGCACGTTCTGCTACCCTTGCTGCAGCACGTGCGAACGCCCCCGTACGGCCGAAAGCGCAACAGGGAGATGGCAAATCACAACTGAGGAACTAGCCGGGGTTGTGCAAGTCGGCGAACGACACGAATTAGCGACCTCCTCGCTCAGACAGGGGCCTCCCTAGAGGGGTGGGAGGGGCACGAAACCATGTAAATAACACGGGTTTCCGATACCCTCTTCACTCAAGCGGGGCCTCCCTGGAGGGGTGGGCCACTCAGGATGTGGGGAAGCACGAAACCATGTAAATTGCATGGGTTTCCGATGCCCTCCTTGCTCAGGCGGGGCTTCCCTGGAGGGGTGGGAGGGGCACGAAACCATGTAAATAGTATGGGTTTCCGATGCCCTCCTCGCTCAGGCGGGGCCTCCCTGGAGGGGTGGGAGGGGCACGAAACCATGTAAATAGTATGGTTGTCCGATAACCTCCTCGCTGAGGCGGGGCCTCCCTGGAGAGGCGGGAAGGGCACGAACCCATGTAAATAGCATGGTTGTCCGATACCCTGCTCGCTCAGGCGGGGCCCCCCTGGAGAGGTGGGAAGGGCACGAAACCATGTAAATAGTCGGGTTTCCCGACACCCTCCTCGCTCAGGCGGGGCCTCCCTGGAGGGGTGGGAAGGGCACGAAACCATGTAAATTGTATGGGTTTCCGACACCCTCCTCGCTCAGGCGGGGCCTCCCTGGAGAGGTGGGAAGGGCACGAAACCATGTAAATAGTAGGGTTGTCCGATACCCTCCTCGCTCAGGCGGGGCCTCCCTGGAGGGGTGGAAATGGCATTGATATGGGAGGCGGGAGGCGGGAGGGAGAAGGAGAGGATGTTCTGGGAAAACAAGAACCCCGCTCAGGATGTGGGGAATTATGTTAACGGAGCTCCCCACATAAAGATATTAACGGTTTCGTGGGACCCATGGGGCACGACGACATCAACACGAAGGAGAAGTTCATCGAACGAGTAAGTACGCACGAAAGGGCAGACGAAAGAAAGGAGGAGGGAGGGCAGGTGCTCAGGAAACGACGCCTTGCAAATAATACGGTGTTTTGATACCCTCCTCGCTCTGGCGGGGCCCCGCTGGAAGGGGGGAGGGCTACGAAACTGGTAAAGAGAAATGGTTTCCGCGACCCTCCTCGTTCAAGCGCGGCCTCTTTGGAGGAGTGGGGGGGGACACGAAACCGTCTAAACCGCACTGTTGTACGATACCCTCCTGGAGGAGGAGGAGGAGGAGGAGGAGGAGGAGGAGGAGGGGGAGGAGGAAAAGGATAAGATGGATGATGGTGAAGGGCAGCAGCAGGAACCGCAGCAGGAGCAGCAGAAGGAGGATGACCAGGAGTATGACCATAAGAAGGAGGAGGGTCGGGCGGGCGGGTGAGTCGCCCAGGTGTCCAAGGTCAGATTCGTGAGGTTGGTCCTGGTGGTCTCTTTTTCCTCGCCCTTCCTCCTCCTCCCCTCCTCCTCCTCCTCCTCCCTCCTCCTCCTCCTCCTCCTCCTCCTCCTCCGAAAGCAGACCCGATGTAGGCCTGGGCGGTTTTGGTGTTTTTTCTAGAAGAAGCAAGGCGCCGACAAAATCTGCTCGTGAACAGTCGCAGCCTGCGCCTTCTGCACATGGGCGGGCTGCGGAGAAGCAAGGCGCCGACAAAACTGCACGCGAGAGGTCGCAGCCTGCGCCTTCTGCACATGGGCGGGCTGCGCGCTCTGATTTGGCGACTTAATGCATGCAGCCTCTCTCCCTGCGAACAGACTGGCCAAACTCCTGGAGCAGGTCGTTGCCTGACCTCCGCATGCGCCACACCCAAGCCCACAAGTACGAGCGGCAACGCTCCCAGTCTGAAGTGTGGACGCTGTCTGGGATGCTGTCGCGCATCTCAGGCCAGAGGCCATCGCAACACTGCGTGCCTTTTTTCAAATGAAGAGTCTCGGTGCGCCCGTTCGGGCGCACGACGCGCACGCGGTCGACGACGGCCCACTGTTCTGCATCGTGAGAAACTATGCCGTGCGATAGCTTCAGATGCTTATAATGCAGCTTGAAGCGGTCAGCATTGAAACGAGGAGGGTCTTTGCTCTTGTCGCTGTAAGCA